TGTTGTGCTAAACTACAATGACATGTGAACAGTCAAAGGTGAGAAGGTGCCATAGACCTCATAAGATGCTATTTCAAACCTAGATTTAATAATTCTTTACAAAAGAAATATTGCAGTGACAGAGAAGCAATAACATTAAGCACAAAGTGAAAATCCAAGCATTTTAGCCATGGTTTTCAAGAGATTTGATGCATAAATGCCATACAACAAATTTTTTTCACAAATAGCCAAAATCAAAACTCTCACAGAGAACCAAACACCATTTTAGAGTTATTCTCCAAGATATTTATTTGAATACCTTGATCTGTTATGTCGGATCTGAGAGATGAAGAAGATGAGATCAATGACCACTTACCTCGATCTGTTATGCCGGATCTAAGTGATGAAGAAGATAATATGAGCTTTTTTGAGGGGCATGCCACAAAGAGATGGGTGCTTGACGAAGGGGTGCTCATCGGCAAAGGTGCTCAGAGGCGAAGGGGTGCTCAGCGGCTAGGGTTATCGAAAAGGTAGGAAGTATCGAACTTTATATTTTGAGAAAGGTCGGAACTATTTTTTAATGCGAGATGGGAAACAGAAACTTTTCATATGAAGTTCTTTTTTTTATCAAACACAGAAGTTGAACAGTACTGAGAATTTCTCAACTTCCAGGAAGTGTCTTCCTGTTATCAAACACGCCCTAAAAGTAAATGGTCTTATAGTATACAATCCCTTAGTTTTTATCTTTTTGGAAATGACAACCACTCTACATCCATATTTAAGATGTTGCGAGAAAAGATCTAGGGACTTGTGGCCTTATTGATAGTATGGCCCTTAATAGAGCAAAATGACAGATCAAGATTCATGTAGTTGTCCCCAAATAGTTGAAAAAAAGCTTTGATGATGATAATATAACTCAGGGATAAAAATGTAATTATGTGTCCCCCAACACACATGGTACTTTTCCTTCCATAAGTTCAAATTTTGAATTTTTAGGGTTGGATTTTGAAATTTTATCAAATTAGGAGTAGCCAGCATTAAATGATTAAAGGGTTTCGTAAGGAGAAATAAACTATGATATGTGTGATTCATGAAATACCAAATTCAAGTTTTGTTTTTCATTAAAAAAAAACATCAAAATGGTATAAGAACGGTGATGGAGAGATAGCGATCTTAAACACACGATATGATAAACGTTGGGGTCTAGTGGATTCCAAGCCTCCTGTTTCGATCAGAGCAGGTCCCAATCCCTCACCACTACGGTGATAGTGCTTACGATAAAATTTTTTTGTCACTTAGATCTTTGTTTTTTTCGTAATCTTATGTATCTTTATTCATAAAATTGAGGAAAACAAGATCAAACAGCAATTACACCAAAAACCTCTTAAGAATTCAAAGAAATACCCTCTTTGCCAAAGCATTGGCAATTTCATTAGCAGCTCGACACACATGCTGATATGAGACTTCCATCTTCTACATATATCTAACACCTCAACCCAAAGTGGCAACAGTCTTCATATATCTATCACATATCGAGAGTTACCTTCTACAATACAAAAGCTCCCATGATTCCTATGCCTTATCAACTTAAAGCCTTGCCATACCGCACAAAATTCCACCTTATTCATAATATTAAGCCACAAGGACCAGCAAAAGAAAGTAATACTTTTCCTTCCGAGTTTCGCACCACACCTCTTATCCCTGCACGGCCTGGATTCCTAGCCGAACTACCATCGAAATTTAAGTAAATACTTCCAGGCATAGGTCGAATCTATCTACTCTTAGGCTTTAGATAGATAGAGGTATGCTTGACAATTTACTGGGATTCAACCTAATATCCATCTTAGAAATGCTAGGCCCCTCCCTTGAAGCCAAAAATTAATTCATAAGTCATGCACAATCCTCTCTCTAACTGCCTCCTAATTATTAAGCATACCTTTAAAAGTCATATTTCTCTCCTTCCAAATCGCCCACAATATTGCCGCTCTAAATATCCGCCAAATATTATGCCCAGATTTTGGTAAGCAAGATAATTCCATGTGCATAAAAATTTCTTCGTGTCCTCTAGGCAACAATAAATGGATTCCCATTAATTTGCAAAAGGAGATGATCACCATTTTCCTCATCTTCTTTGTACAATAAACAACATTTACCAGCACTTTATCCCTTTTTATGAAGTTATCAAAAGTTAGTGATTTACCTTGTAGCAGAATCCACATAAAAGCTTGAATTTTATGTGGGATGGTAATTTTCCAAATATACTTCAAGCTCGACTAAGTTTATCTCAATCTGTCATGATAAGTGAGTCTATAAGCTGATTTCACCGAGAAAACACCATTATTTTTCTTTTCTTAAATTATCTAATCATCTCTATTCGATGAGATGTATGTTGGTAATATGACATTTCAGGGCCTTAATGCAAAACGTCTCTCGCTCAGTGGGATTCAGCGAGAGATAGAATCAAGGTGCTTTGCGAACTGGGGCCCAGGTTCTAATACCTCAAGTACGTATGAGGCATTGAGAGTTTACACTTTAAGAGAGTAATCTCTCTAGAAGGTATGAGGGTTACCTCAGAGTCAGGACCATATAAGTTAGAATGCCTCATAATTGATATGATTAGCTAGGGCTTGGAGTTACCAATCGAGTGTAAAAGAACCTGAGTGTCTTGCGATGAGAGCTGACCATGTATGAAATGGTTAAGACTTAAGGGACATGAGTATGTATCCTAAAACGAGATCGTTCCATGGCATGTGCACATACATTCGCATGGGAAGCCACTCTTTCATATGTATTTTTTGACATAAAAAGAGCTTATACATATGTGCTTTGAGATGACCCTTGTAATAGAGTAGTAATATGTCCCACAGTGGTACACTTGTAATTTATTAAGAAGTCAGATGGTGGGAAGCTCCAGCTCAGTGATTTTTATATGATCAATTATGTGTCCATGTCCGTTGGATCAACTTGAGACGCGGGGGGAACATCCTTCGAGACTAGCCCAATGGAGTACTCACGTTACTAAGTCAAAACCTTGAGATCTCACATGTATCTTTAGTCCGATTTAATTATGATAAGAAATGATGTAAAAAATATGCAAACATATTTCAAATATTTATTTGGATTTTTTAAGTTTTTTTTTTCGAACTTTTAAAGCACAAAAACGTGTTTCAAAATTGTTTGACCTTAATTCAAAATGAAGACATCCATGCAGATGCCACGTGGAACCCGAGTGCCCATAGGGTGGCCACGTGGTACCATGAGCCCCTCACATTGGACCCACTTCTATCTTGAGCATAGACCCTTTTGATATTTAATTATCTAATTGATTTCCAAACCTTATGTTATATTGCTATAACTTAAAGTTACATTTTAATCACATAGGTTGTTGTCATACGTGTGACACACTTAGCTTGTGTGAAGTCAAGGAAATTTTTGAGATAAAAATTATTGTTAAAATTAATATCCACATAGGTTATATTGCATGTAAATAATTCATGAGGATGCATCTCATTGGTGTGGCCCATGTGAAGGTGTGGGGTGCATGTGAAGGGTGTTAGTAGAGTTGATCTCATTAGTGGTGTCATAACCCTCATTTTTGCCTTTCCCATGCAATGGCATCATTTAATTTTTTTCCTCTTGCCTTTGAACATTCTCAGTTCTCTTAAATTAAAGAAATGTTAATGGCATTTTTATAAGTACACTTGGACATGTTTGAATAAAAGTATGGAACTAAGAATAAGAAGGTAAATGTGGCTTTGACCTAGGGTTTTAGTGAGTGATAATGGTGGAAAATCTCATCCATTCATCTTGGTAGTGGATGTGGATGAATGACTAAAAACATTAACCTCTCATGTGTCATTGATGAGATGCATCAAGGGTTGAGATCTAATTTTACTTAAACACTTCATATAAATACAATTTTTAGGTTCAACATAGCCCTATCTTTAAAAAAAGTGAATTTTACAAGCAAAAGGAACGTAGAGAGAGAGCAAGAACTCCCATGAGCTCCATGTACCAGCCATTGTAAAATTTATTCTATTGATCATATTTGAAGTTTAAAGGTGGTCCTTCACTGTATGAGATTAAGTTCATTTTAAGCAATCATCAAGATAACCCTCCATCAAGTTTTCTCTATTGTTATTTATCCTCTTTTACTTCAAAGCTTGCTGTAAATTCTTAGTTACAATATCTTTGTAAACCTTTTACCCCTTGCTTCATATGATCTTTATGATTGCCTTTTATAGGGTAGTTATCCATTTGACTACAAGCTTCATACCTTGATGATCATTTCAGTGCGCATAGTTTAACTTCGATTTTCTCTACATGATGTTTCTGATGCATTTATTATACTCAACATTCAAATTCCAGAGATCTATTACCTCTTTGAATCATCTAAAGTTCACACTTTTACATGCAATCCATTTATTATACTCAACATTCAAGGTACATATTTTTGCTCTACCTTGCTTGATTCTAATCAGATCTTCCTAGTTCCTTTTGTAAACTATTGTAGGTTGATTTTGTTATTGATTATGGATCATAAGAAGTGTTTTAAAGGTGTTTAAGTTGTAGAGAAGAAAATATTTTGATGTATTCTATATTTCTATAAATCCAATATTGTGTAGAAGACCCTTAATTTATAAGGTTACAATGCAATGTAGAATCAATAACCTTCTTAATATGAGTATACATAATTTGAAAAAAAATACAAAGAACATATTGCACAAAACATGCTACTATAATTTCACGCTCCCCCTCAAACTCTAGATGGTTTGATATAAATCATGGAGAGTTTGGAGAGAAACCGAGAGAATTGAGGTGCAGTATGTGTTTTGGTGAAGAAATCAGCAAGTTGTTCGAAGGATGCAATATATGGAGGGGAAATGGTGTCTGCCAAAAATTCTTGCCGGACAAGGTGACAATCAAGTTCAGTATGCTTGGTGCGTTCTTTTTAAGAAATGTAGATGATGCTCTTATTATCATAGTAAGTAGTGTGAAAGTGAAAACAATAACACTCATACCAGCAAGCAACCATCGAAGCCAAATGATTCCAGTTGTAGTTTGCGTCATTGCTCTATATTCTGCTTCTGTTGTAGATAGGGCAATACGTTTTTGCTTCTTACATTTCTAAGATAAAAGTGAGTCACCAAGAAAAATGCAAAATCCTTTAGTTGATTTGCGATCACTTGGGTTTCTTGCAAAATCTGAATATGTATATGCCCGAAGTTCAAAAGAGGAAAATGAAGAGAAAAATAAAGCCTTGTGTCAAGTATCTCTATAACAAATGATTCATAAGATTGCGACTAGGTGAACAGATCGAGGAGCACTAAGAATTGGCTAACTAGATGCACAATATATGCAATATCTAGGGGAGAGATAGTAAGATATATCAATTTACCAACCAATTGTCGATAAAATGTTGGATCATGGAGTAGTTCCCCATATGTTGCACGAAGTTTGATATTCAATTCAATGGGAGTATCAACTCTCTTAGAATCATCCATGAGGCAAGCTTGGGAGACAATTTCTGTGACATATTTGTGTTGAGATAACAGATAGCCTCGAGGAGAATAAGCAACCTCTTGGCCACGAACATATCGCAAGAGCCCCAAGTCATTCATTTCAAATACTTGATTGAGTTTCTGTTTAATTTTATGAATGGTGCCCTTATTATCACCAGATATTATCATATCATCCACATAAAGTGACGTAAGTGTTCGGCCAGTAGTAGTGTCAGACACAAATAGAGCTGGATCATGATGGCTTTGTCAAAATCCTGCTGACACGACTGCATGATGAAATTTTTCAATCAAAGCACGGGGTGCTTGTTTGAGTCCATATAGGGCGTGGCGCAGCCGACATATCGGATTCTGAGAATTTGTAACTCTAGGAGGTAGCTTCATATATACTTCTTCGTCTAGATCATATTGAAGAAATGCATTTTTGACATCTAGCTAATAAAAAGGCCATTGTCGGATGGAAGCAACATAAATAAGTGTTCGAACAGTTATCATATGAGCTACTAGGCCGAAGAGGTTTCAACAAAGTCATTTCCATATTGTTGATTGTATCCTTTTGCAACTAAACGGGCTTTATATCTTTCAAGGCTACCATCTGCTTTTGTTTTGATGTTATAGACCCACCGAGAACCAATCACATTTTTTTCTTTTGGAAGAGAGACCAGATCCCAAGTGTGCATCCGATCAAGAGCATTTAGTTCCTCTATCATTGCCTGCTGCCATTCCACCTGGTTGGCAGCTTCTTTGTAGGTTTGTGGCTCAGAATAAGAATGATTAGAGGTAAGAAAGGCTTAATGCCGAGGTAAGTAGGCTTTATAATTAGCAAATTGAGAAGGCAAAACAGAGACACCCGTACTATGGTGCACATGAGGTACACGATCAGCAGGTGTAGGTGCTTGACTGGGATATGAAGCAGCAATATGACAATGGAGATACTGCAATAGTAAGCTATTTGAAGGACAAAACAAAAAACAAAATCGACCAGGTTGAACCAGAATGGGTCGGGTTACTCGGACTTGCCATTTGGGCGAGCTGGGTTTTGATCAGTTATGGGGTCTAACACTCCAACTGCCAGGGTCTTGAGTAGTTTCGGTAGGCCTCTTGGGCAGTTTCTAACCACCTTGTTTCTGTTAAAGAAAACCTGGCCAATCAACTCTCTCCTCTCTCTCTTGCAGGGAAACTGGACCATGCCCTTCTCTCTCTCACTAGCTTCCTCTCTTTCAAGAGCAATAAGGCCATGCCCTTCTCTTTTTCTCTCTCAATCCCCCTGCCCTTCTATCCCTCTCTCTCTAGCTTCCGCTCTCTCTCAGGGGCAATAGGCCCCTGCACTCCTCTCTCCTTCTCTCTCTGTCTCTCTTAGGGCAACAAGGCCCTGCCCTTCTATCGCTTTATCTATCATTCTCTCTCTAAAGTACGCTGGGAGAACATTATTATTTGAAATAAAAGAAAAAAGTACATTTATATAGCGAAGCAAAGACAATTTACATAGCCCAACCAACCGTAACAAGCATCAGAACAAAATAAACAATAGACCCCCCATAACAAACCGCTATCTTCAGCTACGACCAAACACCATGATGAACTAAGAAATAAAAAACACAATAATGAGTATACCTTGAGCTTCTGGGGGAACTTTGCCTTGAGAACCACCAGGGAACAACTTACACGCTATAGTTCAGAAAGGAAGAAATCTCTTTGACGACAATCTAACAAGAAAGGCAGAGAATACCCAAATTACTTTCAAGTTAAATTGCAGTATGCACCAAGTCAGGGACAAAACAATAGTTTTGTGCTTCAAAATAAGACTTCCTATACAAGTGACCTTTCTCATAGAATAATTCTTTTTAAGGATCTCATTTTGTGCTTCTAAATAGTCAAATCGACTCCTCCGTACCTCTAGGTCTTTACACCCCAATTGGGAAGTTGCTTTATCCACAAAAGATGAATCAAATTTCCCTGGGCCCACAAATAGCTGCAAGTCCCCAAAAGTTGATGTCCCAAAGAAAGGTTCGTCTCTAACAAATTCCTTAAATCGATTCGAATCCCCTCAAATATTTGAGTTCTGTATAATATTTTATTATGAAACTCCATAGATTTAGAAACATCTAAACATATGACCTTCTTAGCCGAAACACAACCAGAAGGAGAAATATTATAAGTCAAAATCCTTGAGGAATTTGAAATTGAAGAAGGATGTTTGACAGTTTGCCAGATTTTTTTAGAATTTTTTGAAACGTCCAACTGAAAAAACTAACAAGTAGATTGTACTGCGGATTATGTTGCTGAGGACGAAGGGGCAGCCTTGTGGACTCATTCTCTCCTCCCTATAACGGACGTTATTACCTACACCTCCACTCCTTTGCTTTCCTCGAACAATCAACAAATCTTCTTTATGTTGAATAACAGTGGGAGGTTGATCAGATGTTTTGTCAACCTTAATGCCCTAAAGTGACATCAACAACGAAATCATCATTGCCTATTTTATGCCAAATCTTCTTTGGATTGAGGGAAAGTACTTCCTTTTTTTCCTAATCCAAACAAGGGATGAATTTGAACCATTAACCGAACTCTAATCTACGTCTTTGAAAGTTCCACATAGATTACCAACCTTTGAAATATCCCCAAATTCCAAGCATGGAAAGGAATACCTCAAATTCTCATCCAACATCCCTCGTTGAAAATAGAAGAGACATGAGAACTTGGAGATCAACACCTCAAAGGCAACAATCTCCCATGAACTCTCCAATGCATGTTTTTTAAGGATTTTTTAGTTTCATCATGGGATCTAAGGCAGAAAGCAATTATGTTATCTCCAAACGTTTTAGCCATAGGTTCATAAGATAAATCCCAGGCTCTCTTAGCCCAAATACCAATGCCATACAAATTATTTGAAGGAGGAAAAAAGAGCCAGCTACCAACAACAAAACACCTTTTGGGGTCTCTCTAAGGATGTTTATCTACACAGAGAACTAGAAACCCCCCACTGTTGTCCTCTTCTTCTCATCATCACCCCTCTCTCTCTCTCTCTCCATGCTAATATTTGAACATATTTACCACAATCACTTCCTCCCCCTGCCCCCTCAATGATAGAGAAAGGACAGTGGGTTTGTTTTTAGGGTGCAGTTTGTACAGAGCTAAGGCTTTAAATATTTAAAGTGAAATGCACTTTCAAATAGTGTCGAGAAATGTGGTTTCAATACTATAAATCTTTATGATAGTCTTAAAATATATTTTCATCACTAATTATAAATTTTAAAGCTTCAAAAATAGTGTAGATCGAGCATATCTATGAAAATCTTGAAAATTGACGGGTCCAAAAATGCATTACAAGGATGCACTATATCCCAAATTTGAATTGTATTTTTTTCTCATGTTCATGCATCTTGATGTCGAGATAATCAATTTGAAGAAATTTGGGCATCAAAACAACCTCTTTTAGTGAAATTTTTGAGCTGCGCTCTAATTCGATTGTTTAGAGCCTTGTACTTATGTAAATTTTCTCTCGCTTTTATGGGTAAAAACAAATGTATTGAATTGATTATTTCATAAATATCGATACAATTCAATAATATTGATGCGATTCACCTAAATTTCCTTCTGATTATTTATTGGTAAAGTTCGAAAGATGGCTTGTTAGATGAAAATGGAAACATTGTATTGCTAACAAGCTAGTATATGGGGATAGGGTGGCAACCATGTGGGACCTGGGTCCACATCTTCACTTCAATATTAGATTCGGTGGATTAGGACTGTGTGCAATTGCCTTAGACCCAACATAGATTGGCTCAAGAGCCATATTGGACCTAGTTAAAATGACCTAGTGATGCAGACAATGTTTTTATTTTATTTTTTAATTTTTTTTTTTATAAAATTGAAATTTAGGCTTTGGCTTATCTAATATTCTTATAAAGTTATTTTTGTTTTTTTTTTTAATTGTAAAGATTTGAGAGGTAGAATTGAAAGTTTATTTTTATTTTTTAAAGATGAAGGAGAGGGATTAGTATTCTTAGATTGGTTAGGATATTCTACATTTGACTTTAATAGATAAGGGAGAGATTTATGTCAAATTGATAGAAGAGAGCGAATAAAAGTTCGAATTTTATGAAGAGATTTTTTAAGGTAGACTTGAGAGATATATAATTTTTCATCCTTTTATTATCAATATTTTTATTATTTTTTTCCCATCTTCCCTATGTCATTATTGGTCCCACAGAGTAATGGAGCATTATTGGACCCACAAAATCCTATACTTTCATTGTCTCCATCTGAGATCGATTTAAAAAATAACAATAATTTGGAAGTGCAAGTGCCTCGAATCCGAATCCGTTGTTGAGATAGAATATGGATTGCTCGTCTTGGAAAATATGAAATTCGCAAGAGCTCAAAGTTCCCTCTTTCCTATTTGAAATCGATAACAAAGTGAACAAAAGATGATCCGAAAATTTGTCATAAGATCCTATAACTAGGTGCTTTGACGGCAAGATCAAATGTACAATTTTGAGAAAAATGCATGATTTGATTACATACATCTACGCATTCAAATAATAGTTTGATGTCGATTTTGGCTTCAGATTAAGCATGAGATTGCACATTAGTATATCCCTCCAATTAGTCTCAAAGATTAGAAAAGGATGAATGCATAATGTATACATAATGCGTGCATCAAAATCCATAATCGGTTCTTTGCCCCTCCAATGAAAATGAGTTCGAGTGGCGATTCAGATCGACCAATTCTCCATGGTCAAATTTTTTAAAAAAATTAAAATATTAAAAATTAAGTTCTATGAGAATCGTTCAATTCTCTGGCTCAGAGCATGAGTATATGTGACCAAATCGCTTGGTTCTCATGGCTGTCTCTCTCTAGATCGAACAAGCCCCGGTCAGTCCCTTAAAAGGGTGTGGTTTGTATAAGGCCGAGACTTTAAACAATCAAACTGGAGTGCATCTTCAAATAGTATCGAAATACGTTGTTTTAGTATAAAAAAAATCTTTATGATGAAAATTTTATTTTCATGTATGAATATAAAATTTAAAGTTAAAAAATACTGTAGATTGAACAAATCTATGAACACTTGAAAATCTTAAAAATTGATGGGTTAATACATTACAAGATGTACTATTTTCAATATTTGAAATCTATTTTTCTCTTGTCCATACTTTTGAGTTCGAATGATCAAATTGAAGAGAGACCATCCAATTTTTGACGAGTTAGATCTAAGTACACTCAAAATTCAAATTTTTTTTCTTTTGAAAATAATTATCTATTGGTTCTAACTTGGTTTCCAAAATTTTAGACGAAAATAATCTTTCTAAATAGCTGTCTTGCATGAGGGAGTAGACCCACAATATACTCCCACGGGAGTATAGTATACGTTTTACACCTTGCGAGGAAACGTAGATATTTCATAGGTACTTCAAGGGTGAGGTTTGTAAAAGGTTGCCTCCTTATACTGTAGAGATGTCATTTGGACATCAAAAATTTTATGATGACTTCAAAATCTGTTTTTATATCCAGATAGAAAATTTGAAATTTAAAAAATACTACAGATCAAACAGAGCAATAAGTATTTGAAAATCTTGAAATCAGATTGCCTAGATAATATTTTACAAGATGTACTAATTTTTTAACTTAAAATATTTTTTTTTATTCATGTCCATTAATGTCAAGGTCGAGATGATCAATTGGAGAGTTATCTCTTATGTGAAAATATTCTCCACCATAGGATTCTTGAGATGCACCTTTCCTCAACAGTAAGGTTACAACCTAATACAAACTTATCCATACTTTGAAAAGGGAATCCCTAAGGAAATTAAAGACGCATTTTGGTCGAAGCAAGAATAAAAACTAGGGAGTTTTAGAACTTTTGGCCTTAACACGTTTTTTTTTTTATATTTTCAAACTTATGCTTCTCGGTCTTTGGACAAGTTTCTACGAGTCCACGTAGAAATGAATCACCTCTTAAAAATCTATTTTTGAGATGGATTCTTGGACTTAATTTTTAAGGACATGTAATCTCTAACATGAAAATCATTAATATGAAAAACAAATAAATTTTGAAAATTAAAAATAACAATTATATTAAAAAAATATTTGTTTCGATTATTTTTAGATGACCACCTATTTGCATCCCTCTTTAAGTCCAATACGTTCCACTGGGAAAAAAAAAACACTATAATTCTGATATAAAACATCCCCAAGAATCCACTTTAATGTATTTTAACAGAAATTCACCCTAAAACTGCCCAAAAACTTCATTACCTCCCAGATCCCAAAAAAACTAGTAAAGTGAGGTTTTCTAGAGAGAGAAACCAATAAAAACACTACAGAAATTACTCAAACTATTCTACAATTTCTTGCAATAGCTTTCGAGCTACAATCCACAAGGCAAACTAGTTTTTTATTGTGAATTTCCAAATATGCAATTTTTTCTGCGATTTTTGTTGATTCTTCAAATAAACTGGTTTTTCAATTTAAAACTCCAATATGCAATTCTTCAGGTCAATTTTTTATGGATTCTAATTTTGATTCTGATTCTATAGTTTTGATGGTTCTCCAAATTGGGCTTTTTGAGTGGGCAGTTCTTTTCTCAGAGATTTATGAGCCAAAATAACTAGTTTTGAAATAACAGACCCCTAGAATTAATTCTGATAATGAATTATTTGTTATTTGGCAATATCTCTTGTAGATCTACTTGATTTGAAACATTTTTGAAGTCTAAAATTTTATTATTAATGATAAGATTCTCAGGACGTCCTCAGAAGTTTTTACAGCAAAATTAATGGTGGTACACCTTACTTTGATTGTTTAAGGTTGCAACCTCACGTAAACCACACGCTCTATGTCGTGATAGCCTGTTCTAGCAACAATGGCTTCTACTGTTTAGTAACAGGCTCTCGAATATTATTTGTGTACTCTACTGTATTAGATTGTAACAAACAAGTTAGTGCGACAAAGCGACAAATTTAGAACAATTTATCAGTACAATTTGAGTTCTGAGTACATTCTCAGAAAAATTTGCAAAGCTACCTTTTGTATCACTTTGTAAATTTTTTCATCAAAGATTCCTACTGATTCTCTTGAAATCTGTCAAAGAAAAGGCTACCAGTTCATGTTCTATTTTGATCATCCATGAGGCCAGCAGCTTCATCCCACCTGCAAGGGAAACTGTGTGAATAACCAATAATGTGAAATACAAGACAGAGCAATTTCTATCTGCTTGACTGAAAAGATGAATTCTCAGCATACTGCTTTTTGATTTCTAAAACTTGGGATAAGCAACTGTTTATTTGATCTCCAGTGCCATGTAGTTTAAAATTTATCACCCTGTTTCCCCAAGCATCCAAAGTCGAAAACTCAATATAGCAATAGTGCTTCTTGGTGGACACTGAAGAACCTGGAATTTGTGAGCACCGGACCAAAACTGGTCGGTCAATCCCTGGACTGTATATGATTCAAAATTTTTGTTTGCAGAGTTCTCATTAACCATCCCAGAATATCTAAAATTCGACCAAAGCTCATCTATAAAATCTCTGGCTCTTCAAGCCACGACCCAAAATGGCCATGGCATCCTGCAACTTTCTAATTTTCAAAAACCCCCTAACCATGGCAATCTCTCTCTCCGAGAAGTCCCCCGTATCCATTACTCTATCTACAAGCTCCATCAAAGTCTCCTCCATTGAAAGAGCAGCAAGCCCTTCAGCAAGCATCGAAAAGGACAAAGCCTCAGGCAAAATCCCCTTATCCAGCATCTCTCTCAAGAAATCAACAGCTTCTACAACAGGTCCTCCCCCGCGACAAAGGCCTCGAAACACTATTGCAAAAGTTAGAGAATCAGGAGGATTACCCTCACGCATCATCTCTCTAAACAATCTCATGGCTTCTCCGGTCTTTTGCTGCCTAAACAGATTTTGAATCACTGGGTTATAGCACTGAGGGCTTGGAACCATTCCTTTCGAAGGAATAGTTCTGAGCATTCTTTTAGCAAGATCGACCCTTCCAGCCTTGCAAAGACCACTGATTAGAGTCCCATAAGTTACAATGTCAGGTTCACATCCATTAGAGGTCATTGTGGTCATAACATCAGCTGCCTTCTTTATGTTACCAGCTCTGCAAAAGAAAGTGAGCAAGGAATTGTAGGTTATCTTATCAGGTTTGAGCCCTTCTACTATCATCTGGTCCACTAGCTCAGCTGCTTCTTCGAGCCTTCCAATTTTGCAGAGGCCATCAATCAGAGAATTGTAGGTTACCAAGTTTCGAGAAATCCCTCTCTCTTCCATTTGTTCAAAGATTTCTTCAGCATCCTCCACTCTCTTGTTCTTGGAGAGGCCAGCTATGAGAGTATTATATGTTACGACACTTCGAGGGCAGTTATCAGCTTCCATGTCTCTCACTAAACTGAGAGCTTTATCTAGCTTTCCTCGAGAACAGAGGCTATCTATCAACATATTATACGTGAATTCATCGGGTGCTATCTTAAGCCTCTGCATTTCTTCAAATAGTTTCATGGCTTCTGCAAGCTTGTTTGATTTGCAGAGCCCATGAATCAGAGAGTTGAAGGTGCAAGCATCTGGTAAGAGGCCCTCTTCTGATAACCCACTTGCGATTTCCATGGCTTCTTCGAGCCTTTTCTCTTTACATAGTGAACCTATGAGAGTGTTAAATGTGACAATGTTGGGTTCACATCCTCTGAGCTCCATCTCTCTAAGAATAGCCATGGCTTCTTGGGTTCCACTAAATTTGCATAGTCCTGAAATCAGTGAATTATAGGTGAATGTATCGGGGTCGAAGCCTTCTTGAAGCATTGAATCTAAGACCTCCAGAGCATGAGTCACATGACCAGCTCTACAAAGGCCATTTATCAATGTGTTGAAGGTGAACTTATCAGGTCGAAAACCAGAGCCCCACATCTCTTCTGTGAGTTTCAGAGCTTCTTCTACCCTACCCTCTTTACAAAAGCCATGAAGCAATAGATTTACTGTCACAGGGCCAATGGTGCAATCAAATTCCTCCATTTTTGTGAGGATTCTCATAGCCCCATCCATGTCTCCCTCCTCTATGAACCCCTGCATAATGGTTGTGAAGGTTATTTCATTTGGGGTAAGACCCAAGCTCTGCATCTCTGCCATTAAGGCAACAGCAGGCTTCACCTGATGGGCCTTACAGAGAGCCTTAATAAGAATATTGAAGGTGGAAACATCAGGTCTAACCCCTCTGTTGCCCATCTCAGAATACATAGTTTCCACCCTTGTCAGCTTATTCTCTTCAACAAGAAGATTTAACAAGAAATTGAACATGTATGTATCTTGTTCAAGCCCAAAATCCCCCATTTCTTCAAACAAATCAATTGCTTCCTCCACCTGATTAAATCTGCAGTAGTTTTCTAGTAAAATATGCATTGTACCTGGGCTAATTTTGCAGGATGGGAGCCCTTTCATCTCATTCAAAAGGGTTTGGACATGGCAGAAAGCTCCTTCAGTCGCAAGGCTTTTGAGAACAGCTTCATAAATAGACGGTTCAGTGATGAAGCTTGGATGCTTCGAAGCAAAATTGAAGATTTGAAGAGTGGCTTCTGCATCTTTCTGCCGATTCAGAATGCTGAGAAGGTCCTCAGTTGTGAAATCAGGAGGGATTTGGTGGATTGAAGAGGGGGAGAGAGAATTGGGTTTTGAAGAGATGGAGAGGCCCTGGCTTTGGCTCGATGCAAGACACTGTGAAAAGTTGGGTCTTTCTGTTAGAGAGAGAAACTTTTGGGGGGGAGTGGATTGCAAAGGGTGAGCTCCAGGGGAAGAGAGAGAAGTGGGTTTTGCAAAGACGGAGGAGAGCTCTTGGTTTTCGATGGAGGAGAGGGAATGACTGCAACTGGGTTTGTTATTTAGAGAGAGAAAGTTTTGGGAGGTGTGAAATTGCAGAGAGTGAAAGAGAGGAAGAGACATGGCGACGAAGAGGAAGATTGAGGTTTGGAGAGAAGCTCTGATGAAAGTAAAAGTTCAAGCCTCAAACGCAGAGAGAGAGAGAGAGAGAGAGAGAGAGAGAGGATTAGGCCATGGCGTGGTGATGAGGATAAACCCTGGACTGTGAGGTAGAGAGAGAGAGAGAGAAGAGGCGCAGGCAAAACAAGAACAGGAGGCGTTACAAATGACATATCTGGTTTGGAAAAGGCCCCTTATAGCATCTTCTAAGGTTATCGCCGTCTGATTAACATTTTGACGGTGATGGAGGAGAGTGGTGTTAACAGGCAATTGAATTTAATGGACTTAAAGGTCGCCGTTTTCTCTCCATCTACTTCCCCATTACTTTAGTGGACGGTGATAAAGCCATGATTGTTATGAACCATGTTATCATATTTTATTAAGGCCCGAGACATATATTTAGGCTTTTGCATTATTATTATTATTATATTTTATCAACAATATTTTTAGTCAACCTATAGTAATGTCGGTTAAGAGAAGTGATTTGGTTCAAGTAGAAAGCTCTAAAAAAAGACAAGACAAGGCTCCAAAAGATATGATATGGGTGGAAGTGGTGAGAAAAAATTTAATTATGTATAATATGAGGTTAATGGCATAATAAGATGGAAAAAGTTTACATAGAGCCGAGGTTCTAAATAATTAAATTAGAGCCTACCTCAAAATTTTCATTATAAAAGGATGTTTTGATGTCCAAATATCCTCAAATTGAGCATCTCGATATCAAGATGCATGGACATGAGAAAACAATAGATTTCAAGTTTTAAAATAGTACTTTTTGTAACCTATTTTTGGGTCATCAATCTTCAAGATTTTGAAGTTTTCACAGATTTACTTGATCTACACTATTTTTTCAGTTTTAAATTTTATAATTAAAGATGAAAATATATCTTAAGGCTTGCACAAAGATTTCCAATTTTGAAACCACATTTCTTGATACTATTTGAAGGTGTGCTTTAATTTGATTGTTTAGAGCCTCGGCTCTATGCAAGCCGCATCCTAATAAGATTCATATAGCGGACTTAAATAGTTAAGATAAAGCTCGAATGATGATAATGAATGATTTTGAATGCTTGAAGCCTTAGATTATTGGTATTAAATAGGGAGATAATCTAGAACATTCCTCAAATGATAAATCATTTTCTAATTGATTGAAGACATATAATGGTGTGATCATACGACCTAACCTGGATTTGGACCCAAACAATAAACGCGACAGGTTGGGTTTGGAGTGGACCTGGACCTGTTTTGGTCGGATCTGATATCACCACCCTACCCCCTAACCCCTGCCATCCCAAACTAGAAGGCGACAGAGTGTGGGATCGTGACCGAAGATCGCGTACGTCACTTAGGTGGGAGTGGCATCAACACGTGTTGAGAGTGTAGAATCAAAGCAAACTATAAGAAATCAATAAAACTCATCCACCAAACACTAAAAACTAAAATAAATTAAAACCATTAAATTATCCATAAACAGTCTCCAAGGTCTTCAACAATATCCAGAATATTACAATGCATCCAAGGCACCAAAGCCTATTAACAAAATTACAAAGCTTTACAAACAACACAGTACAGCCGACGGCCAGCTGACAACTACAAAAACAAGGAGATCTTCTAGTCTCGCGTGGGCCTTCAGTCCACCAAACACAATCACCACCCGTCCGTCTTCGACCTGCAGCAGTCAATCTATATGGGTGGAAGCATATGAATGAGCTGAAAAGCCCAGTAAGTAGATCATAGTATCATGTTTCCCTGCTTATGAATATTATCGCACAACACAGATCAAGGTTTTAAGCTATGCTCATAAAACAGAAGTCATGCATAACAATTATGTCACAATTATAGGATGATGCTTTTCATAGTAGAGCAGACACAATATAAAATATAAGATATCATATACAGTAGCAATTTATCAGATTTCAACATATCCGCACCAACAAGAGAGCATAACAAAATCAACAGACACAACCCACTTTCTAGCCCTATTCATCAGGCCAGTCCCATATCTCGCAAATCGATCATATAACTCAGGTAAATTATATATCTCAGGTCAATCTCATAACTTCGGTCAACCATACATCTCAAGTCAATTACATAACTTAGGCGATTACCCATCTCTGGTGATGCGACTTGCACAAGGCATGGCCGGGAAGTCACATATCACCTCGTGCGCACGTCATTGGTGTCAGTCATGGCCATGCGATACGCTCAAAGCATGTTAAGTAATCACATAACAGTCACAATATCACCGTATCAGACTGCCAATGGGTGGCCCATTGTGTAATGGTCAATATTACATCTGCTCACACATTCACAGTATGTCAACAGTTACATATCAGCCCATGTGCACTCAGAAGTCATATATTTCAGCACAGTATACTCCACTACCAATGGAGGACCCATTGCATAGTGGTCATAGCACATATCACAGTATTTATAAAGCAGAATTAGACAGTATCAGTGTCACATAATGGTCATGTTAATATCACAGAATAGCAGTATCAGATTCACAAAATAACGGTGTCCATATCACAGAATGTGTGTTACAGCTGTAATTTTAAGCCGTGACATTTAGTTGTAAATAGGGTCATAACTTTTGATTCGTTTGGAATTTGAAGTCGGTTTCGAAATCAATTTTTCACTAGACACAACTATCTTTCAAATCGAGGTGGTTTGCAAATAATTAGACCTAGTTTGAACTATCAAAAGTTCAAAAGAATGGAGATATTTCATCTGAAATCTGTTGTGCAGTGAAGGCAATGACATATCTATAAAATTTACTCCATAACTCACAATCAAGAAAAAATTTCAAAAAATGCTCAACATGTGAATGTAAGATTTCTCATGAATCATTCAAATGACAGTAGTTTGGAACAAAATGGACCCTTTTTTGTTAGTTAAAATACATAGCGATAGAGGCATAAATTTTGAGTTTTATAAAGCTGTCCACAGTGTCATATTGTTACAATTAATTATACATTTCTCAAATTATGGAGAATTTTGAAAAGTGCTAAACAAGTAGTCTTATGCTTACTAAAAAATATTTCAAATGGCAGTGGTTTGGAAGAAAATAGACCTTATTTGGCTGGTCAAAACCCTTGACATCAGAGACATCCACTCTGTATTTTTACCAAAACTGTCCACAACGATGTACTGGCATGTTTTGAAGTGTAACTTTACATAAATAAAGAATTAGAGCAATATGTGAACATGAACATTCAAATAAACTCAAAAGTGTTTCAAATGGAGGTGATGTTGTGTCATTTGGACTTCAATTGCTTAGTCAAACTTTTAGTACAATAGAAATAACATTCTTGAAAATTATCACAGTTTGCTAACAATAACATATATACACAAAACAAAACATATCTTCCAAACTATCAATGATCTCAGCTAGTCATAAACACCAAACTCAAAGTAGACACACAACCCTTTCAAATGGTGGTAATTTGAGGCCAATTGGATATCATTTGCTTAATCAAAATCTCGTCACAGTAGCATGTAAATTCCCTGGAAAATCACATTACAAACATGACACTTTCCAAACACTATTCCATAACTTCAAATCCATACAAGATAACAACATGAAATCTTTTCTATCTTAAACTAGACTCACACAAGCATCATTCCACATAATTTCAGGATCCACAAGAATGATAACAGTGCCCAACTTATCATACAAAAAATACGTAATTTTTGGAAAAACAGAACACAAACATACATGCTTAACTTCAAGCCTAATCCATGCTTTATTCATGCTTAAATCACACATTATTCATGCTTAATTCATGAAAATTTATACTTAAATCTCATATTTTCATACATAAGAATCATACTTCATACTAGGGACACATAATAACATATTCTACTTACCTTGTGCTTCAATGGTGATCCCAAGTCCTTCACACAGCTCACTCTTAAAGTCTCTCAACAATGGGCACAAAGGGCTGGAATTTCTAAATGTTCAAAGGGCAAAAAACGTGGGGAAGAGAAAGAGAGCTGGAGGATGACAGCTGAGGTGGTTGAATGGGTAGTGAGAGAAGGGGAGAAGAGGTGGCAATAAGACACCTCTAAGTGGCAAGCAAAAGGGGTGAGGTGGCAACAAGCCACCTCCAAGTGGTAAGTAAGAGGGTGACATTTGGAGTTAGAAAGAAAAAGGAGAAAAGAAAAGGAAGTACCTCATGGACTACCCTACTCCAACAGTCCCGACAGTCTAGTCACAACACTCACGGCGGTACTCTTATGCGCATGGCGTTCCCTCTCGTTCACGTACGACACTTCTTCCTGTTCGTACACGACGTTATCCCTTACACTCGCGGCAATGCCCCTAACGCTCATGGCAATGCCTCCATTCACGCGCATGGTGATGCCTCCATTCATGCATGACGCTACCTCTTTTTCATTCACGGCGATATCCTTACGCACGCGACGTTAGCGTTTTCCCTTAGCACCGGGCACGCGCTTCCTTCTCTCTACTGTCGTGAGTGTCCTAGTCTCTATTGCCGTGAGTATCTAAGTCCAAAAAATTGGGGTCCTTACATCTGAGTAGGGGTCAACCCATCTTAAGCTATTCCTATCTATTCTATATATCTGTCAACCTATATGTATGTGCCTTTGTGTGTTTCATTATAGGGAAAAGTTTATATAAGGTTACAACCTTAAAATATAGAATCACAGATGCACTTCAAAAATCTATCGAAAATGTTGTTTTAATGTTGAAAAAGCCTTCTAATCAATCATCTCAACATCGAGATCTATGAATATGAAAAAAAAAAAATTTGAATCTCGAAAATAGTGCATCTTACAACACATTATCTAGACCGTCCATTTTCAATATTTTCATATATTTATAGATCTACTTGATTTTAACCATTTTTGGAATTTTAAATTTTCTAATTAGGTATGAAAATATATTTTAAGATAATATTAAGAATTTTTTACAATAAATTACATGTTGATAAAATTTTAAGGTGCTAAGGGAAATGGCTATGTAATATAGAAACCGCACCCTTCATTATAATATATTGAAACTACTCTTTTAAAAAACTATGTTTGTGGCATTTGTATGAAATTAAAATTTCTATAAATACTCTCTATATCCTAATAATTATTTTTAAGATAAAAAAATTTGAATTTGCACCCCATCAAAGGTCAAAATGAGTCTCTCTTAGACAATGAATCAAAATCCTCCATTTGGTGGATTTTAAGATCTAACCTTTTAATAGTTCAAAACTCAAAATTTTATTCTTTACAGTTGTTCATCTTGCTGATAAGGCTGGGATAAAAATCTTCCCTCTAAGGCTTAGATCTAATCGCCTAATCATATGGATGACCTATAATTTATTGGGTTAGAGAAATTCTTTTCAAGGTCGTCATTCCATTTTTTTTTTCCGAGATCGTTCTTCATAATGAAGAAAGGGTAATATTTAAAATTTGGCACAAGCATTACGTTTTTTTCAATATTATTATAAAATTTTTATATATATGACTGAGTGTGGAAGATGTGACATGCTTCACCTAATCAGCATAAGCCTTGTTTTCCTTGGTTCAATTGTGTCAAAGTTGTTAGGGGTTGGTAATGTTGGGTATGGGTTGGGTGTGGCTAGACCCGAACCCATACCTGAATGTATTTGGGTCGAGGTTTTGGATCTAGATCCGACCAGTCAGGTCTTGGGTCTAGTCAGGTCCATTGCCACCTTCATTATGAGCTTCTTATTTTTATTTTTATTTTTATTTTTCCCTTTCTTTACCATCATATACCCAAATTATTGGCGAGGTTACAACTCGCCATTAGATTTCAAACCGTCTTATTTGTCGTTTAATAGCTAAAGATGTTTATGAATTCTTATTGTATATGATCCTTAATACACCAAAACGAATAGGGCTTGAAGTATTTTATCTTCAACAGTTCACGAATACGGGTCAGGCCCAACCGAACCCGGATCAGGACCCGAATAGTCTTCGGGTCCAGGTTTTAGACCCAAACCCGGCTTGTGTGGCTCCAAATGTTGGACTTATATCCAGACCCTTTCGGGTATACCCGGCGGGTCCTGGTCTATTGCCACCCATAAAAATCATCTTCTCCTCCCCATTTGATTTACCAAAAAAAAAAAAAAGAGGATTATATACCATCAGACCATTTACCTATTATACAAAGAGGTTGGAAGTACTTCTAAACATCTTATATAACATTTAATAGTTTGGGTGTATCACAAAGTTTGGGAAATATTTTGTTTGAACTTTGAGTTTGGTCGATGAAATAAATGACGCCACCCAATTTCACATCTAACAGTCAAATTAATTGTGATAAACTTTGTACAAAAGATAAATAACCTTATTGTATATTTTTTCGATATATTAAAATTTTTTTTTTTTTTTAAAAAAAAAAAACAAAAACGTCCATCTTCTCGAATATAAGCATGTTTTCCTTGAGCGTGAGCAAGGGACATAGGTTGCCTTTCTCTCTCCTATATGAGGTAAAAACTTTCAGAAAATACCAAAACTTTAAAAATATTATTTTCAAATAATATATGGTATTCATATTTCGATCTGCGTATCTTCCAAGAATAAGCAACATAGTAGGAAATCTAACTCGAATGAGTGGAACACGAAATATCAACTGTCAAATACCCGTTCGTTCTACTCCCTATGAACGGATCAGATAGAGCCATGTCATAGATACGGATCTCGAGTGCATAAATGATACTATTGAAAATTTTATTTTTATTGAGATTAATCCATGGGTGAAGAGGTTAATCTCCAAAATTGGGTTTCCTTATCCGAGGGAGTAAATGCGCTTTCTACTCCCATGGAGTAGAACATCTTTTGTCATCTATAATTTCTCCTTAAAAAATTCGGATTATAGTCCTTAATCCTTTACCAATGATAGCCCGTATAAACCGGGTAAAAAATCATCGGAAAATTGTTTCATGCAGGCTGGATCACATTTCTACAATACTGAGTCTAAAGGTATAAAGCATCTAGGTGTTCCATCTAAAAATAATTGTAATTTAATATAATTAATTTTTTATTTATTAATTTTTTTTTTAAAAAAATTCATGATCTTCATGATTATATATTTTCTAAAAATTATGATCAATTATATTTAAAAAAATATATTTACTATCATGCCCTCATTTTTACATATTTCTACATTATACGTCCGCATTTCTACATATTTCTACATTATAAGGGTTGGCCGCATCGAAACCGGATCCAAAACCAAATAACAGATGCTTCCATAGTCCAAACCGAAGAAATCCGAGTACTTCAAAGTTTCAACAAAACCATCCACACCATCCAACCTCCGATATATGCTCTCCAAATCGACGGTTCAAAACATTCCATGTCAGCCATCCTCGCACTTCCCTTCTGCCCAATAATAACCCGTCTATTGAAACTATATATTGAAAGCGCATTCGTTTCCTCTTATTATCGTTTCTTCGCTCTCTGCAATTTCGCCTCGCCCATTCTTTTCCTTTCTACTTTCTCTCTCTTTATAGTGTCCATTATCTCTCTCTAAGCTCTGCGAAATTCATCAATGGCGCCCAAAGCCGAGAAGAAGCCCGCTGAGAAGAAAGTTGCAGAGAAAGCCCCCGCTGAGAAGAAGCTCAAGGCTGAGAAACGCCTTCCTTCAAAAGAGGGAGGAGCTTCAGATAAGAAGAAGAAGAGGTCGAAGAAGAGCATCGAGACGTACAAGATCTACATCTTCAAGGTCTTGAAGCAGGTTCACCCTGATATTGGTATCTCCTCTAAGGCCATGGGCATCATGAACAGCTTCATCAATGACATTTTTGAGAAGCTTGCTCAGGAGGCCTCCAGGCTTGCTCGCTACAACCAGAAGCCCACCATCACTTCCAGGGAGATTCAGACTTCTGTTCGTTTGGTTCTTCCTGGTGAGCTTGCTAAGCATGCTGTTTCAGAAGGGACCAAGGCTGTTACCAAATTCACCAGCTCTTAGGAATGTAAGTAAACTCTGTAACCTAAAAAATGAACCTCAAAGGTTTTTCTTAAAAAATAGAACTCTTTTGTGTATTTTGAAAAAAAAATGAAGCAAGGAAATTTTAGAGACAAATATCTGAATTCTCACCAAATGGGTCCTCCAGGCATAAGAGAAAGTAAAGTAGCAAGGTAGAAAATAAATGAAAAGAAAGCGGCCTTTCTTTCAGCTGTAAATTTCCTGATTCCCCCTCATCACGGTTCGCTTTTTGATCATCAACAACAATAGGGCCTTGAAAACTTTACATCCTTGTCGAATCCAATACTTCAATTCGACAACGACCCCAACTAATATAAACTCTCCCATCCTAATTGACTCCCACCACCAATTTTCCTAATTCTACTAATTTTCGATTTGCAAAGAATTTCCAGAACTAAGTCACGAGTCATCTCTACGATAAGGACTCTGACTAATTCTACTAATTTTCGATTTGCAAAGAATTCCCATAACGCCTTTTCATTGCTAAGTCACGATTCGCTACGATAAGGACTCTTGACTAATTCTACTAATTTTCGATTTGCAAAGAATTTCCACAACGCCTTGTCATTGTTAAGTCACGATTCAGGAACCGCCAATCGGGCGGTTTTAATGTGTAAACCGCCTTGACATCAGAACTGCACGGGCGGTTTTAAACAGTAAACCGTCCTGACATTAGAGCTGCAAGGGCGGTTTTAAACAGTAAACTGCCCTGACATCATCAACCGGCGGTTTTGATGTCACCACTTCGACACTTCGACACGGACATGTCGCCCTAACATCATCAACCGGCGGTTTTGACATCACCACCCTGACATGAACATGCCCTGGCATCATAACCGAAACCTCTTAAACAGTTAACCACCTTGACATCATCAACCGGCGATTCTGGTCACCACTTCGACATCGACACATGGACTAGTCGTCCGGACATCATCAACCGGCAGTTCTGACGTCACACTTCGACACGGACACGTCACCCTAACATCATCAACCAGCGGTTCTGACATTACCACTTCGACACGAACACACAGACACGAATCGATGGTTCTGATGTCACCACTCCGACAAGAACACACGGACACGTGCGACAAGCAAACATGTGCCACATACCACGTGTGAAGTTGCCCCAATGTTTCTGCAAGTATACTTTACTTCATATTATATAAGTATTTCTATAGCAATGTTGAATACCCATCTTTCGATGTGGGATAATTCTCAAACATCATAAAATGAAAAAGGAATGTAAATATATTTTATTAATCATGAATTAATAATCACATATGGTGGGAAGGTGGGATGGTTATGATCTTTGATTTTGGCTTTGATGTCCCAAGGTCGAATCCTTTTCGGTGTTGTATATAGTGAGTGGTATAAATATTTTTTTAAATAATATAAAAGCCATAAAAAAATGAAAAAAAAAAGTTAATTTTTTGTATAGTAGTTAATTTTTGTTATATATAGTGGTATAATTATTTTTGTAAATAATATGAAAGGCATAAAAAAATAAAAAATAAAAAGTTTATTCTATTTGAAATCTCCCTTTTTCATCTAATAATCTCTGTCACTAAATTTATTATAGAAACTTAAAATATTAAATTTTTGAAAAATCGAAGTGTTATTTTCAAAATTTGTACGCATTTTATTAATTTTTACATTGATAACTAAATATGTTATTTTATTTATTAATTTTTACATTATAAATCATGTAATGTACTATTTTTCTTACAGTTGTCAATAATACATTTTAAATTAGATAATATTATAAAATATTTTAAATTTTTTGTTATTTGCCTAATAAAATAATTATAAAATATAAACTAATAATTATAATTTCAGTATATAATATTATAATTAGTTAAGTTTTAATAATTTTGGATTATAGTTAGTTTGGTTGTAATAATTTGGGGTTTTTTAGCAGATTAGGGTTTTTCGTTAAAACGAGATTGTAATGCCCATTCTTTCATTGATTTAGTCTACTTTTTATTATAGTTCATGTATAATTATATATTTTATCTATGATAATTTTAAGATTTTTCTTTTATGTGATGTAAATTTAATACTTAAGTTTATACAAGGAAAGAGCATCTCAATATTCACAAATTGGTGAAAAAAATGAAAGTTATTAATGTAGTACCTTCATTTCTTATTGGATTCTTAAAAAACAACATTTATAATGAATTTTAATACTTTTTTCGGATTTTTTTGAAGCATTAATCCAACCGATTCAGCCGATTTTTTATCATGATCGTCGATTCTCCGATCCGGATCGGCGATTTGCCGATCCGGATTGCCGGTTCGTCTATCCGAATCCATTTTTAAGGTATCGGATCCGGATCACCGATCTGTTTTTTAAACCATAGATTGACACCATTAATATGGATGGATCGTGCCATGACGAAAGATGTAGAGAGGATTATTAAAAACTCAGCAATCACAACAGATGTGAAAGCCACGAGAAAGACCCACCTATGCATAAAGGGGCCGATCCTCACCACATTCGCCACTATTTTTGCACCTCATAACGAACGAAAATGCAGGCTCACTGAGAAGAAATAACACCAACTCCACAACATATCAATTATTGTACTTCTTATCAACTCCAAATTCAATATAGTCTCTTCCAACATTCTCCTATTCTTCTCCAACCATACCTCTCATAAAATAGCTACCCTCACAATCTCCGAAATTATCCTTCCAACTTTCCGTAATCCATCAAAATTAAGCTGGAGCAAGATGTCCTTATGCAATCTAAGAAGCACGATGCATAATACCCGACTTTTGAAAAATTCAACTCCAAATATTGTATGTACAATACATATACCCAACTTTTGAAAAATTCAACTCTAAATACTGCATGTAAGGGGGCATGAAGGAACATAATCGATCTTCACTCATCTATAAGCATTCTCCACTTAGCTAGGTGTTTAATAAGGACTGGTTTCTCGACTACGAACTGAAGTGGATCTGATCCTAATGAAATGAGCTAGAATGTAATATCTCAATGTCTATATGACTCACACAAGCGTCAAATAATGCTTTTATATGGCCATCTACCGATTTTTGTAATCAACCGTGGTATAATATGTGGTTTGCTCTTGTCTTTGATCATCATATTCATCAGCATTGCTGGAACGGTTCTCTCCTTAAACAAACATGTATAAGAAGGTGAGCCTATCCGGGAAAGGAGGGTTAAAAACTTGTGAGTTTACCAAGTAGGCACAAGTAGTTATTGATTTGATCAAAGGCTTCTTCACATTTAACGTGCCACATGAATGATGTGTTCTTAAGTATGTAATTGGGCGGAGCAAACTTGCCAGTCAACTGAAATGCCTTACGACTTGTATTCTTCTTTGCAGGCCTCTAATCTCTGTAATATTTCTTGGTGATAAAATATAAGTAATCGCCCGAATTCTTGAAGGATGGAATTTTTTTAAGTGAAAGTCGATCCTCACACTTACCTTATTGAAACTCATATACTTGATGCGCAATTCTTTGGTCCTTTTTGTGCAAAATAACCAATATTAGCTAGTCATTCTAGATGATCAATTGACATGATGGATATAATAAGCTTATTGACTTCTTTTTTAGGGGTGACAATCAAGTTGGGTCAACCTGCAAGGACCCGAAGCAGGTCCAAATCCATGTTTTGCACCTGGCCGGTTGAGGCCAAGCCCGGCTTGGATCTTAGTGGGTTGGGTATGGGTCAACTTGATTTGATCTGAAACATATATATATATGTAAAATTACTTGTTATTTTTTAATTTCTAAACTCGAGTCAAGGGTCAAATGACTTCGACTGGACACCCGGGCCCAAGTAAGGTCCAAAACCAAGTCACTTGGACCCGACTTGGTCCTGTCTAGGTCTGTGTGGAACCTACTCGAATCAAGTCTAAAGCCCATGTAGAACCTAGTTGAGTCATAGTCAACTCAATCCCGATCCGACAAGTTGCCACCCCAATTCTTTATTGATCATCAACATTAAGTATGCACAGTAATGGAAATATATACCAAGCAACCATTTACTGTTGGTCTAAGGAAGTCAATCATTTTTGTCCATCAGATTTTAAATTGACGACTAAGAGTGCATATTGATTAGGCCCAAAATTTTAAAAAATCTTCTTAAATTTTGTGACTCACCCCAAACTAATAAATTTGATATGTAATGGCTAGCACTAATTGTGACCTCTTTATAATGAAAATAAATGGTCTCATAGTACGAGTAATGCTTTCTATAGTCGCGGTCCTCTTTCACTAGTTAGAATTGGATGATCGTCTCCTAGACTAGGGTCTAGCCCTAATATTTCGCTCTAAGACAACATCCTAATATTATTTAAGGAATGCGATCATTTTATCCCGTTCTTCAGGAAACAAAGTCTCAAATTTCTTTTACCATAAGAACAAACAAATACATCCCGATATTATTCAGATCATTTTATCCCCCCGTTCTTCACACCCAATTTTGAAGATCACTAGAATCTCTTTGTCCACTTGTTGAAATCTAACGTCTCTTTGTCAGTGGCCGATGATTGCCTGTCGAATCTCTGTTAGGACTCGTCATCCTATAGACCCTCATCTAGACTATGGGGTGTTCTATTTATGATATTTCGTACTCTTATTTTCTTGATGGTTTCTTAGTTTTAAAAGATTTTCTCTCACCAATACTTAAAAATTCTTTGAATTTTCCTTAGGTTTCTTATGGTTTTTAGATTTAAAGCCTACCCTAATGGAGATCCATGGAGGAGGGTTGAGTTGAGCATACAGGCTGCTTTATCATTTTTTTGGCAGTTTGTAACCAGCCAGTAATGAACCAAAAATCTGCCTAAGGGTAACCTAGTTTTAACTTCTAGGCCAACACTGGGCACTGGGATGGATGAAAGCAGATATCAAAATACTCCTAAATGGGATTGGTTAAGATAAGAAGTACAGGAATCCCAATCGGGTGTCGTTCCAACATCACCGGTCGAAAGTTTACAAACGAAATGAAGGGATGGACAAAACCTCAGCTCTAAGATAAGTGAGTGAATGATAAAGATTAAAGATAACCTAAAATAAAGAGCGTAGACTCATGTTTTAAGCTAAAACCATACTTGCACACTAACTTTTCCTTCCCACCTTAACCTCGTGAGTAGAAATCAATACACCAAACTTGCTAGTAGTTGCATCCAATTTCTCCTTTTCAAAGCACCAAGATCAAGCATAAATGACCATTTGTATCATATGTAACAGACACATGAGCACAGATTATTGTAGGCCAATCATAAACTTTTCCGCAAAAAAGCGACCTTCCTTAATTGCCAGCTTAAATGTTGAAGATATACTTTCAAAACTTAAAAGAAACTTATATGTTTGAACACCTAGCGCCAACATGGTGCCATAAAATTTCATAGGCATGTTCATAATTCACCGACCATATTGAAAACAGCAGTACAATGGAATAGGAAAATGCTAAGCATTTGAGAGAGCCAGAGGGTGATCAGAGGAATCGAGTAAAGCAATAGCACCTGAAGGAGGTAAGATAATCATGATCCAAGTATAGCAAGCATATGTTGTTGCTGCTCACCAAATATGCTCTCTTTTCTTTTCCTTTTATATTGGTAATTTTCCATGTCACCAATCATGCACCATCACCTAAAGATTGAATTGCTGACCACAGACTCGCACTTATCACGCAGGCGGAGAGTCGCTCGGACAAACTTTAGGGGGAAAAGGCAGCTGAAAATCCAAAGTCAACTAAGGGGGTCTAATTATATCGATAGAGGGAAATCGAAGCAGTAGAACTGCATAGAACGTACATTGGCTGGAGAGGGTTCTTACTCCAATGCTGACATGAAAAACAAGGAAACAAAATAACATTGAAGGACCATCATTCAATAGTGAGGCGGTGGAAGTAGTAAGACAATAGTTAAGCGTCCCAATGAAGGGAATAGAAATATTTTCAATAGAAATGAAAGTTCAAGGAGAAGAGCCGGCTACATTCATAGCATTTGTATCCAGGGCACATGGGTGGGTTGCTACCCCGTGGGGACATTTAGTCAAGGCAGAAAACTAGGAGAACCTGAGTAGCTTTTTTCTAAAAAATAAAAAATAGAAAAATAACATAAAATAACCGGAATATAATTCTCAATGTTACGATGGAGGTCCATTATCATGTCACACTTGAGATCCCTAGACAAATAATTGAGCCATGGGGTATTCAGGAATACATGGACAAGGTGGTCATATGCTTGCAACTTGTATAAAATGCTTCATTTTTGTATATAAATTCAAGGGTTTAGTTCT